AAAAAAAAAAACGGATAGCAAGTTTAAGTTGCTTGTGAAACATCACAGCAGAGATGGAGACATACATGTGGATACCACCTGCAAGCGGATGGGTTTTAATGTCTTAGGAACAGATGACACCTTTTCTTATTTATTTATTTTTAGAGACAGAGTCTTATTTTGTGGCCCTCAGTAGAGTGCTCTGGCATCACAGCTCACAGCAACCTCCAGCTCTTGGGCTTAGGCGATGTCTTGCCTCAGCCTCCCGAGTAGCTGGGACTACAGGTGCTCCCCACAATGCCCAGCTTTTTTTGTTGCAGTTTGGCCAGGGCCAGGTTTGAACCTGCCACCCTCGGTATAATGGGGCCGGCACCGTACTCACTGAACCACAGGCACCGCCCAGATGACCCCTTTAAGTGGGAAAGCACCCACAAGTGGCCCATGGGCTGCATGAGGACTTTTTTGCTTATCTGTAGTATCAGATATCATGAAAATAATGCATGGACCTTGTTTTTGCCCATCAGCTTTTGTTAGTTTGTGTATTTAATGTGTAGCCCAAGACAATTCTTCTTTTTCCAATGTGTGGCAGAGAAGAAAAAAGGTTGGACACCCCTGAGAGTAAAGAGGGAAAAGCATCCAGAAGCAAAGCCTGACAAATTCCATTTGGAGCTCAGAGACAGGAGGAGGAGGATTAGCAAGAGAAAGCAGAAAAGCAGTGGCTGGAGTGAGACGCGGAGAAGAATGGTGCCCTGCAAGCCGAGAGATGCGGATGTTTCCAGAAATAGGTTCTGGAACCCATAGGACCATAGGGCTGGGGGGCCTAACACAGGAGAGGCAGGTAACACAGGGACTCCTGCAGAGCCAGCCCTCCACCGTCAATACTTTCCTCCCACACTGTGTGCTCTGTGGCCAGCTGGGCAGGTGCCTTTTCTGAGGACAGATATTTTCCAGCTCCTGCATTTAGTGTGTTTCTACCTTCCCCACCCCAGGTCACCCTAACAGCTTCTCTGGGGACACTGAACACACTAGCTGACATCCCAGACAGTGTGGTACAGGGCAGAGGCCAGAAGCAGCTGACCATTTCCACCAGTGACCGGAAGCTTCTGAAGTTCATCCTCCAGCACATGACATACACCAGCACGGGGTACCAGCACCACATGGTGGACATGGGTAAGAGCCTGTCCTTGGGTTGTAAAATGCTTAGGGAGCTGGAAAATAGCACCAGGCCTTTTCAAAGTCTTCCTCTTCCAGGAAGCCTGCCTGCTTTTACCATTCTTCCTTTATGCCTCTTTCTAACTCCTGATGCTTAACTTCCCAATTACTATACTTTCCCTGTGGTCCCATAGAAGACAGATCATTCATTCTGTGCACTTTGCACATGATAAGAACCATCCAGTTCTGTTACCCATGCTCGGCAACTCTCAAAGCTGAAGATGTCTGGCAGCCACAGAAGAGGGCGCCAGTCTGTGTGTCAGTATCTCATCCCCGGCACTCATAGCAAAGAGTGGATATGGGGGAACTTCCAGTTCCAAAGGCAGTGGCTTTGTCTTTCCCCTCCTGCCCCCTACCATAGAAATTTTTGAGAGTACTATCCCTGCCACCCTCAGGGAAGCCTAAGTTCTTTTCTGAGTGAATTAAAGGCACCCTTTTCTCATTTGACTAGCTACACAGGATGCATTCCCGGGACACCAACAAAAAAACTGAAACATGGGACACACACACAAAGAGACATGGGACAGATGATTCTCATGACCACTAACTGATGAGATAGTTCTCCCCACCTTCATATTTTCAAATATTTCCCTTCATAAAATGATGCTATGAGATAAAATAGGGTGGGTATTATTATCTGGGGTTTGTAGAAGGAGAAAAAGATTCAGGTAGTAAATGGCAAAGTCCCTGAACCCTCTGATTCCCACTCCACCCCACCACCTTCTCATGGGTGGCCAATGTGAGCTTAGGTGGCATTTAATAGGTTGCCCTAGGGACACACAGCAAGTCAGGAGCCTGAATGTCACATGGGGTCCTCAGTCTCAACACAGCCAGGACTCTCCCTACCAAACCTTCGCTCCTTTTCACGTCAGCTTCCCGGGGGTGGCATGGATTCAGACATGGAGCTGCCCGGGCTATGATCTTACTTCTCCCTCCAGTGAGTCTGGAGTCCAAGTCCTCAGTGGCCAAGTTTCCAGTGACCATCCGCCATCCTGTCATGCCCAAGTTATATGACCCTGGACCAGGTAAGGCCCTTGGCTTTGGGGCTCCATCGTGGCATCCTGTGGAGGTATTGATGAAATTCAGAGGGGATCACTTTCAAGATGGAGAAGGAGATTTGGTCAAAATAACAGCTCTGATAGGATTCCTGGTAGCAGCTTGGTTTGGAGGAAAACATTCCAGGACACACTCCCCTACATGGTTTATGCTTATTGTGAAAAAAGCAAACAAAGTGAATTATAACACTTTGATAAGCAATAGCAATAAAAACAGAATAAGTCTAAGTGTCCGTACTCAGTGGTTAGGGCGCCAGGCACATGCACCGGGGCTGGGGGGATCAAACCCAGCCCGGGCCTGCTAAACAATAACAACAACAACAACAACAACAAAAATAGCTGGGCATTGTGGTGGGCCTGTAGCCCCAGCTACTTGGGAGGCTGAGATAAGAAAATCACTGAAGCCCAAGAGTTTGAGATTGCTGTGAGCTATGACACTACAGTACTCTATCAAGGGCAACATAGTGAGACTCTATCTCAAAAAATAAAAAAGCAAAACCAGAATGATACCAGAGCATGAGTTGATACATATCAGTAGAATCAAACTGGAATTCAAAAATAGATCCAGTACATTTTGCAATTTTACTGTATGTTTTTTTTTTAAACAGAGTCTCATTCTGTCACCCTGGACAGAGTGCCATGGCATCATAGCTCACAGCAACCTCAAATTCCTAGGTCCAAGTGATGCTTTTGCCTCAGCCTTCCAAGTAGCTGGGATTACAGGAGTCTGCCACAATGCTTGGCTAGTGTTTTACAGACGGGGTCTCACTCTTGCTCAGGCTTGTCTCCAACTCCTAAGCTCAGGCGATCCACCTGCTTCAGCCTCCCAAAGTGCTAGGTTTACAAACATGAGCCACCACGCCAGGCTAAAGGTGACTTTTCAAATAAAAGAAAGACAAATTAACACTTTTTTTTGCTAATTCTACCATGGCTGAACTTTGACAAATTAACAAATTAATGATAGATTACTCGATAAATCATGTGGATTTGAATCTGGCCAGGTGTGCTGGCCCATGCCTGTAATCCTAGCACTGTAGGAGGCTGAGGGGAAAGGATGGCTTCAGGTCAGGAGTTCAAGAGCAGCCTGAGAAAGAGCAAGACCTTGTCTCTACAAAAAAATAGAAAAATTAGCCAGGAGTGGTGTGGTGGCACAGGCCTGTAGTCCCAGGAGTTGATCTGTTAAGCCCAGGAGTTTGAGGCTACAGTGAGTTACGATGATGCCACTGCACTCTAGCCTGGGTCACAAAATGAGACTGTGCCTCAAAAAGGTGTGTGTGTGTTGGGGGGGGGCGCAATTTCTGGCATGCCTTCTACTTTCTGTCATTCTGAGAAAGTGGCTGTGCAGTGAGGTTACGGAGCACTCACTCACAAACAACAGGAGGGTTGTGGCTTCCAGCTGACCCCACCCCACACAGACATTGTACCTGTGCAGTCAGCTGGCTCCTCATTTGGTGACTGAATCCCAAATTTACCCTGGCAGCTCCAGTTTTTTCCATCACAGGGTCTTTTCCATAAAAAAATCTGTCCATTCTCCAATTTCATAGAAGCCACATGTCTTAAGATGGACAATGTGGTCCATCCTCATACTTCCAACCATGTCTTCCTGAGGATGGAAGTTGCCACTGATGTAGAAGAGGTCTCAAGAATTTTATACCTTTTCTCCTTTTCTTGGGCTCGGTGACCCTCCATATTGATCCCCTTAGTGGGCGAAGCTCTGTGCATTTCAACACCTAGAAACAAAAGACACAGCGGGCTCAACTACAACTTGAACTTTACTTTAGAAATGAAAACAATGTAACCTAAACATGTGTACCCTCATATTAATCTGAAATTTAAAAAAAGGAGAAAAAGCGAAGATGAAAGCAGGACACGAGCAAGGGGCCAACAGGCAACCATAAAATGAAGCTTTCCATCAG